TTTTTGACCCTTTTCCTTTCCCGGGTCGATTTTTAAAACATTGGTTGAAATCTTTTTTTTTTTTTTTTTAAATTTTCCAATTCTTAAACAGCTTTAATAATGATAATTTTTTCAATTTTTTTATATTTTGAATTTGATTATTTTTTTATTTTAAATTTTTTTATTTTCTCATTTATTTATTTTAGTGACAAATAATATGTCATAAGAATATTTTACCGACTCAGTTATTTATAACGAATCGAATCGAATCGAATTGACTTATATTTATATTTGATCCATTTAGTTAACGGATTATTGGATTCGGATCTTTATCGAGTTATCGGACTGAGACCATAAATCCATCTTCCATTAATTTCATCGAATTTAAATCAAAATTCAATCCATTGACAGCCCTAGTTAGAACATGCTTGCCACTCCGTTTGATCCCATTTCTTAAAACTCATTTTCATTCATACATTTCAGGAACCTACAACTTTCATCATTTTTTCAACCCACATTTCATCAACTTTTATGAAAATTGATTATTGATTTTAACAAAACCAAACAGATCTAAATAAGAGAAACACGTTACAATATTTAACTTTTGTGCTTCACAATCCATGCCTTCAATGTTTGCATTACATTAAAAATTCGTTCAACAAGTTCCCACCAACAGGTAAAACATATCAAAGCATTGACTTCATAGCTATTACTTACGGACATGTTTAGTTGGCAGTACTAAACCACACCACAGGACAACCAACATTTTCCTTAATTATGCACAATGCTTTCAAACAGATCATCGCCATGAGTCTAAGAAAAAAATATCAAGAGCTTACAGTATGCTACCTCACGCGCATCGTACTGATACAGCAATAAACAATAAGAGAGACTTAACAAAACTACCATAGTGCATTGTAATAATTAAATGATTGGGTGTTCAATACGAAGCAATGGGAAATATGCCAAAAGTCTAGTGACAATGGAATTACAAAATTAATTAGCTCATCCACCAGCCACTCACAGCTTAAATCCACTACATTCCAAGCAGATGCAGATATACTTATGCATCACATTCACCAGCTGCCACCTCCGGACCATCCATCATTACCAGATTGTGATTGTCCGGAACTCTTTTTGCCGCCACCCCATCCAGAATTTCCACCACCAGTATCCTCAGCATCGTCTGAAGCGTTGCCGCCCCAGCTACCAGGGAAAGCTTCCCGACCTGGTGAATTCTGAACTTTTGCTCCAGGAAAACTACCCCATCCACCAGCATCATCACCATCCTTGGAACCCCACTTTTGTGATCCATGGTCTGAATCCTGCCTGTCGTTGCCTCTGCCACCTCGGCCACGCCCACGTCCACGTCCACGCCCACCATATGGTCTGGGTGCTCCACTTGGATGCCCATGCTGGTCGCCACCATTTCTGTAATCACCTCTACCTATAACCAAACAAAATTAGATAGATTAAAACATGGGAGGGCAATATTAGCAATAAATCAGAGCAACAGAACAAAGAAGATTCGATACTTGGTGAAACAGAAACAACTAGAATAAAACCCGAGAATCTATCAACTGTAGGCACTGTGTCACATTTTTTAAACACGACTCTAGAACTCTCTCAACCTCTCCACCACATGACCTCCAACCCTTAAACAGTCCTGCCCTCTCGGCCACTCTCCACTTCACAAAACACAGGCCTTCATCCTCGTGATCGAACCCCACCCCAAGCCAGTCACCCAGACATATTTCAACATCAAACCTATAAGTTCCTGTCAACTATAAATTCCTTACTCAGAGGTTATCAATCTAGCTAGAGATGAAAAAAGAAATGTATAATTCAAAAGTTCAAAAGAATAAATAAGAAAAATCAACCACTTTCAAACGGGACTTTAGGAGAAACTAATAAGGTCCCATATAGCAAGGAGTTCGACATTATTTGTAACAAGTCTTTGCAGCAGTAAAGTTGTAAGGGGACACTCCCTTTTCCTATAACTATCCTAAACCACATCCCACTCTTGTGCGTGGAGGATTGGGGGTGTGGTTCACTAGTGGGTCTCAATTAACCTCTTCAATAATCTATGCAGCAGGTGGAGTTGGGGCAGAAGGTAATCATATGAAAACCCATCAAATTTTATCAGTCTTGTCCATGACAAGAATCAACTAAATATTAAAAGTAACAAGGTAAGGTATGCCGAGAGTTTTTACAGCAGCAAAGCATTAACAAAGACTAGTAAAAGAAAAGTTGAAAGTCAGCAGAATATTACATCTCAGGCAGGATGACACAACCTATGATGCACGGACAAGGACACGTGTGCCCGACACGATACATGTTGGATACGCCGACACTCGATTTTTAAAAAAAGTACAGACACAACACGTTGATTAAATTCTTAAAATTTTTCATTTATATAGTATAAATTTAGTTTTATACTTGCTATTAATTTTTCTTGTTGAAATCT